AGGTTTATAGCGTGACAATTGTCAGTATATAAACTCTAAAAAGTCCTTGAGTGAACGAGTATAGTTTTACGCCGCTTAGCAATATTCCAGCAATATCACGGCGGGGAAACCAGAAATGGCCTTCACACATGGTACCCATGTGGGGAATCGAACCCGGGTCTTTGGCGTGACGAGCCAACGCTTTAACCACTAGGCTACCCCACCCCTCCTAAAAAGTCCTTGAACATACTGACAAATTAGTTATTTCAATTATAAGGGCTGGCTAACTGAATCTACTTTTGCCAGTACAGAAATGTCACATTCTAGCCACATTTTATATAACATGTCGCTAAAATGTGACCACGCTGAAATAAATTCTTGACGAGACAAACCGGTGATTGATAACGCATAACGTAACAGTGAGTGAGTGAGTGAGTTTTGTTTTACACCACACTCGCCAATATTCCAGCTATATGGCAGCGGCCTGTAAATAATCGTGATCAGACAATCCAGTGATCAACAGCGTGGTCATCGATCTACGCAACTGGGATACGATGACACGTGTCAGCGAGCCTGACCACCTGATCCCGTTAGTCGCTTCTTACAAGCATGGGTTACTCAACTGAAGATCAAATCTAACCCGGATCTTCACGGGTGGATAACGACGTTATGGTAGTCAGGGTACGATGACCACCAAAATTGTGGGTGTGGTGTGGGGTGGAGTAGCCTAGTGGTTAAAGCGTCCGCTCGTCACGCCGAAGACCCGGGTTCGATTCTCCACATGGCTACAATGTTTGAAGCCCATGTCTGGCGTCCCCCGTCGTGATACTGCTGGAATATTGCTAAAAAGCGGCGTAAAACCATACTTACCCACTCACTCTGTTTGAGTGTCACAATCACCGCAAATGCATTTGCGAAACAGACCAATTGGTGATAGCGTGAACATTGCCAAACGTCGTAGGGCGACGGAACTCATCAGTTGTACAGGTAGTCGAGTCCTTACGTCGAAGGCGCCGTAATTCGCCGTGCGGATTTGCGTTATGCCCAAACCCCATGATTGAGGGCCTGGTTCCATGTTCGGCTGATATAGTTCAAAATGTCCTCGGCTCTCTAACCCCGCTGGTTAAAAGGGTTTTCCTCTCAGATTAAGCCGTCTTGTCGTGGTAGAACTGGGATAACGTTGGTGTGAACCCAGCTCACTCTCATTTTAGGCATGTTTGTAATGTGCTGATCACACCATATGACGCACATGCTTTCAAGAGTTAACTCCCTTAGAACAAATATTTTACTGGCGGTTTGTCGAATCAGCTTGGAATCACCACTGTCGTAATGGGACATGCATAAAGTCATTCGTAACTACTCGTGTCATTCCGGCAAGCCGGATGGCGTCTTCTTGTAGGTCACGGAAAGAGACGAGTAGTTACGAATGGAATAAAGTGAGTGTGGTTTTAGCAATATTCCAGCAATATCACTGCGGGGGACACCAAAAACTACCTTCACACATTCCACCCACGTGGGAATCGAACCCGGGTCTTCAGTGTGACGACAGTGTATATCTGAAACAACATATCATAGGCGTAGGAACTGGGGGGGCAGGGGGGTCAGCTGCCCCCCCAGAAAAAAATATGGGGGGGCGCTGCCCCCCATATTTTTACAAGCTGGAATTTTTTTTAGGGACCATAATAGAGAATTAAACACAAATTCAAGCCTCTGGTAACGTTTAAAAAATAACATGATCACAAAAAAAAATTCCGCTAATGATAGAATCCAAATTGTTTAATTCATGTCACTCAAAAGTGAAAGCAGAGGCAGTCAGGCTGTTATCAACAGCCAACATGGATTCGAATCAGCGGTAAGTTGACAACATACATTGACATTACACTGTAGTCTATACAGTAACATTTAGTTTACAGTAATAGCCATATTTTAAGTATAATAGGTGCTGTTTGATTTATTTATTGAAAATCTAAACAATAACAATAAGACACGATTTCAAACTCGTACACTGGCAGTGAGATAGCTGGTTTTATCTGAAAGCCGAATTCATGTATGAAATAAGAATGGCTGCATTATTATACCCCCGCTACGACGTAGTCGCTGGTATATAGCGCTCAGCCCGTCCGCCCGTGTGTCCGGAATGGTTTCTCTGAGCATGACTAGAAAGCTATACCACTTACAAACTTCAAATTTGTCATTGAACTTACCCTTATGGTGCCATAAGGCTCAGCCCGTCCGCCCGTGTGTCCGGAATGGTTTCTCTGAGCATGACTAAAAAACTATACCACTTACAAACTTCAAATTTGGCATTGAACTTACCCTTATGGTGCCATTGTGGGTTTTGGCTTTCAATTGCATGATGCCAAAATTGAAAGTTTTCCTAAAATATTATTTTGGTATTCAATAATGGTATTGAAGGCGATCAGACTATAAGCGGGGGTATTGTTTTTCAGTACCCTATTGTTCTATTTGTCAGCACCCAAAATATGATTATCATAAAGAAAAAATGACAGTGACTCCAATTTCTTATTTTTCAGATATTTAAGACCAAACATAAAGAGAATAAGTTATTGTAAAGACCTTCTTGTGAAGTATTCTAAAGGGCCGGGACACTCTTTGAGGAGAAATTGCAAAGCAAGTGAACTCGTCTGTCCTCTTCATATACCTCCTCTCTCCACACCCCTACCCCACACACACACACCCCCGTTATCAATTTCGAAATCTTGCCCCCCCAACTTTTAAACTGTTCCTACGCCTATGCATATGAAGAATAATTATCAGAACAGCAATTGCTAAACGGATTGGATTGTTGTTTAAGGCCGCACTCAGCAATATTCCAGCAATATGGCTGAGGCCTGTAAATAATCGAGTCTGGGCCAGACAATCCAATGATCAGCATCATGAAACTGGGATACGATTACATGTGGCAACCAAGTCAGCGAGCCTGACCACCTGATCCCGTTAGTCGCCTCTTACGACAAGCATGGGTTACTGAAGATCAATTCTAACCCGGATCTTCACGGGTCAACGACGAAGACGTCTAACCAGACCTCATCCTTTTCGTCTTCTCTTACACATACACAGGTGGCCGGGGACCTATATCTAACTTCACGGGTATCATAAATGGAAAAGTAAGTCAATTATGCATGTACAGACAAGTGGAACTCACATTTCATAAATATATATATTAAAATTATCTGTTAATTACAGTTTGTTTCTTGGTGCATAATCAGCGTTAATTAATAAGGTGTTTGGTTTGTTGTATTAACGCTAGCTATAGGCTCTGTGGTTCTCTAAATATAATCCACAAAGCAATTAACAATGACAATAATAATTTTAGAATCCCCAAAGGAAGTACAAATATTCCCGTGTACAGAACCGATTTCGGTCGTAACAATAATAGTGTTCCTTTGAAAGAGCATTGTTCTGTTTAAATTGTTCGCTTTCTCTCCGGAAGTATATATTGTGAAAGGAAATTCTCATCAGTCGTGCAACGGACGTGACACAGCGTTAAGGGGGAGTTGTTGCACTAGTATGGTCTTGTGTATCATGTGCACCTGTCAATATCAGCTTGTCAGATTATTTTTCTATTGTTTCAGAATGTCCACTGAATTCCTGGTTCAGCGGGGCGGTAAGCAAGCTTAGTTGCTAAAGCGTTCGCTCGTCACGCCGAAGACCAGGGTTCGATTCCTCTCATGGGTACAATGTGTGAAGCCCATGTCTGATGTGCTCCTCCGTGATGTTGCTGGAATATTGCTACAAGTATACATGTATATGGGCAGCATTTTAATTATCTGTTTCTCATCGCCCGCTCGCTCCTTCTAAATTTATTGCCCCCGCCTCCCAACCCCCCAAAAAACAAACTAAAAAACAAAACAAACAAAACAAAAACAACAACACCAAAAACAACAACAACGAAAAATAAAATAAAAAACAAAAAATCACAAAACAAAAATAAAAAAAACCTAAAGCAACAAAACAAAACCAAAATAACAACAAACAAAAAACCCACCTTTTTTGTCATTCCAACACTGCCGACTCGAACCTAAAACGTACCGCCTCGTCATATATAACGTTTATCTTTAAATCAGTTGCTGCCACAAGTCCAAAGAACGCGAGAAATTGTAATAAGAATTACAATAAATGGCGATCAGAATCAAGAACGTTATTCAGATAATTTTGTCTTTATTATGTTGGGGGTTTTTTCCCGACCGACCGACCCATGTTCAGATGTTAGATTTGGGTGTCTACGTGAAAGACATAAAAAAATTATGTCCTATTACATATTACAGTCACACATCAATACCAACCTCGTCTAAGGACGCCGGCGCCCCAAGTTGGGCGCAAATTTAGTGGCCATACAATTTCCGAGTCCCTTGCTGGGATTCGAACCACAGACTTTGTGATTCGAGGCCGGACGCTTATTCATTTGACCAAAGAGGTGTTAACCCCATGATAACTTACATAACCACTTTACCTCGGGAATAGTAGAGACTTAACTAAAATCGTACTTAAATAAATAATAATATCAAAGTTGACAAAACTATGCATTTATGACATATATTTCATCATTTTAAATAAATTGGGGCACTTTTACCAATTTGACCGAACCTGGGGCAATTTGACCATAAATCCGGGTCATTTTGACTGGTACCCAATAATAACCCAAGTTATATATTAAAATAAACTACACTCTGTTTAATGCATGATGCTATCTGTGCAAGCGCATAGCAAGCCATTTTTTTCGTGTAAGTCCGATAGGTTGCAAAGCTTTATATTTAGATAGTATATTGAGGGCTTGTCCAACCTTTTTAGCAAAAATCATTTGTAAGCCCGCGCTTTTTCTTATAATGGTAGCTACGCCCCTGGTGAAGAAGTTTTTCCGGAGATACCAGAGGGAATGCCTTTTGGCAAATCCAATATCCCAGTCGACTTCTTCTTGACGTCATCATACATTTCATTGGTTCAGACCGTGAGATGTTGTAGATCACATGACTTTTGATCACATGACATAGTGAGGAAAGATGGCGATGTACAACAACAAAGTTCGTCGCCTGTTGAGAAAGTTTGTTAAGCATGAGGATACGATCTAATCAGTGACAAGTACAACTTTGACAGGAGCAGTACAGAAATCTCACATTTACGGCCATGTCGGACGAACGCCGTGCCCTGCTTCCTCGTAGAAATGGAGAACATTTATTGGGCCCAACCCGGACTCAAAACAGTTTGTGCTCTGTTCGAACTGCTTGTGGGGCGATACTATTGTCAGTCGTTTTTGAAAGACTGGCGTTCTATGCTCTTGCTGGTAACCTAGTGTTATTTCTCAACGACCAACCGTTCACATGGGAGTCTTATCATGCGATGAACGCTTCGTTTTATTTTCTAGGGCTGTCATTTGTGACCTCGTTATTCGGCGGATGGCTGGCCGATTCAGTGTTCGGACGATTCAAGGCAATTATAGTGGCGTTGATAATATACATCGTTGGGTATGTCTTCATGCCCCTTTTGTCTCCAAAGGACGACAGCAATTCAATATATTTACCAGACGTCTGCCGAATCCATATCCACAACATCACTCCTATTATGCCTAAAAACCACACACAGGAATTTGATCTCAGTGACTCAGACTCCGATGACAAGAATCCCTTTGATGAAAAGTGTGCCTGGCTCATCTACATTGTGTTGACGATCATTGCTGTGGGAAATGGTTCATTTAAAGCAAATATTGCTCCGTTTGGAGCAGACCAGGTGAGAACATTCTAGCTATATGACACTTCTGTTTGATACTAATGGTGAAGATTAAGGGTGAAATGATATTAGGTCATGACGCGATGCGTATCTTGATACATAGTTCATAGGAACAGCAGAAATGGTCTTCACACATTGTACCCATGTGGGGAATCAAACAATCTTCAGAGTGACATGCTGATGCTTTAACCACGAGGCTATGGGAATACTTATAACACACCTTGTCCAACTTCTTTGAGTGGCAATTTAGAAGTTGGGAAGTACAATATAGAACAAACTTTATGGATAACAACTTCTTATTTGTGAGTTAGTTTTGATACAGATTCTTGTACCGTTGTCAAGCGTAATGGAACATGAAGAAGGGGAAGTATATATATGCTGGATGTACATGCTTTGTTACATTGTTACATCCAGCATATATATACTTCTCCTAGTTGTTACATCCTCCACAACAATGACATGGCACACAATGGCATTGGATACGTGCACACCACCTGAGAACCGAACCGTTTAATAGCAATATCTTCACACATGTCAATACACATCAAAAACTTTCATACATGCATCATTTGTACCAATGACTTACATAATATTTATGCACATATCCTGATCACACAGTACATGTATTAAAGAATCATGTACAAAACCAACCATAGATTTATACATTTTACATTGCTTAAACATATGAACAAAATCCGGCCACAATATTTCAACTTCGCCCGACAAGCCATCCACATCGGCGATAAGCCATCTTCCTCGGCGACAATATTGCAACTTCGGCGACAAGCCATCAAACTTCGGCGACAAGCCATCAACATCGGCGACAGGCCAGCATGAAGCGACAAGCTTCTCCACATTCGCAACAGCATTATCAGCGACAAGCCCTCACCTGGCAACAAGCCATTACAAGACAGCGAGCCATCCACTTTCAGGCGACAGGTCTCTCAAAGGCAGCACCCATCACTACAACAAACAGAAATACATATATCATGCGTACATGCTGAACATTTTTATTTATCTTTTCAAAATGAAATCTAATTTCTCGGATATGGGTCTCTCATCCATGTTGTGTGCACCGTAACCGAGAATGGCATATTCAAACCTTTACACCCTTTATATACCCCTTTAAAGGCCCCCTATATTCATTATCTCCCTTTGTTGTATCTTCCCTGCGGCTGGGAGAAAGAAATTTCATTCTAATTCGTTCCTCAAAGCGAAGAAAATATATTTCTTCGTTCTTCATGTTGCATTATGCTTGACAACGGTACAAGAATCTGTATCGAAACTTCGCACTCACAAATAAAAAGAAGTTGTTATCCATAAAGTTTGTTCTATATTACACCTTGTCCAGGCTAGATATCCTGCTCAAAGCACGCAATCTGATCATTATTCCCCCGGATAACCCAAGCTGCCTGTTAGGCCCTAGAAGGTGAATAGTCTCATGACTTATCCCACCGGGTACCCATTTTCTGCTGGGTGAACAGAGGCAATTTGAACAAACTCACTTGGATAAGGTGAGACCACATGTATCACATGTGCTTCGTTGTGGGGCAGGACTGAAGTTCTATAAACTCTCAGGAGTCAAGCTTTTACACACGGTCACCCATCCAACGTTTCTTAACTTCAACTGATTGTGACCTGAGCTCTATGCACAGGACCACACACCACCATGTGACATTGTTACCTTGTCAGCTTGCTGTGAATTGAATCGACAGCACACTTTTAAATCCTGATGGCTTGCAAACTGAAGAAATGTTACATTTATATTTTGAATTACACTTTTTTGTGAAATCACAAAAGTACTTTTTGGGGGGTTGCACTGAATCCCATCCATCCAAAAGTTTTTAAGAAATGTACAATAACGTTAAAGTATTTGTACTTCATCTGTTTCCCAAGAACCAAACAAATTTACATGCCTGGAGTCATTGCTGTTATTTTGAGTTAGTCCCCTCGAGTGCTGGAGTTCAATATATTGTCCAGGTTTGTCTGCGTCTTACCCATGTTTGTGGATTTCACAACAGTGGCAAAAGTCTCAGATGTACTTCACTTACAAGCCATGTCATATCTGAATGCTTTTCAAACCTGCTCACTTCCTTGTCTTGAGTTTTACAGGAACCTGAAACCTGTCAAGAAGTATTGGTGTTATTTACAGGATGTGTTCATTGTATTCACTGTAAAGGGAAGTAATTTGGTGTTACAGATTTGTGCAGTTTGGAAGATCATTATATAGTAAGACCAGTGGACTTATCATGTTTTGAACAAGTTGAATTAATATTTTCTCCTGCTTTGATAATTTTCTTAACTATGTGTTACACAGGGCTCCAGATAACTTTTTGGGGTGCGAGTGTACTTACAAGTTACACATCATATTGCAAGTGGAGGTGTACTGAGAATTTGAAGGAGTACTGACATGTTTTTGTGTGAGCGAGTTGGTGATGTGGTTTGTCTGGACGATTCATCGATCACTATTTCCAACCATGTATTTGTATTTGAAGACGCGTGAGAAATAACTGAGCGACCGTGTGATGTGCGAAATGTCAGGTCCGACTGGAAATAAATAGGAACAGTTTTTAGCCAATCGAAAAATAGTGACGCATATCGTTGCATGGCAATGCAAGTGATTCCTACTGTCGAGGGTTTCCTCATGTGTCAAATCGTGTTTTGCAAAAGAAACTTGACAAGTATTTATCCGAAATAGATTTCCATTTGCACGATACGCACGGAAATTAAATGTTAGACGTACAAAGGTATTTATGTGCGTACACGATACGCTTGAAATCTTATATTATTTGTACTTAATTGATTTTGAGGCGTACATTACGCCTGTACGCCCCTTATCTGTAGCCCTGGTTACACATGGACACTAGCAAAACTTGTCCAAACAAATTGCTTTATAGCAGCATTCCTTGATTACTTGAGCAGAAGGTCGCGGGTTCAAACCCCGGCTGCGTCATACCAAAAGACGTTAAAATATGGTACTTGTTGGTCCCTGCTGGCGCTCGGCATTAATGGGTACAACAAGGACTTGTCGGCTCGGAGGCAGTATAATGTGTCTGAGTGGGGTATTCATGCTTCACTGCGGCATGGTATCTCAGTGGGCTAGCACTATAAAAACCAGCTTCAGTCTGGCCTAGTACAAGCAGCCGCACATACACATACACACCCATGCACGCCGTCATGTGAGCGAAATATTCTCAAAACGCGACGTTAAACCCAATTTCACCTCACCTCACCTCATTCTGGAAGATTTAACTTATTCTCCATTACATATTTTTCTAGTGATTTCTCTGAATAAAATTGTTTCATGAAATTGTCATTAAGTTTTTGCCTCATCGCGAAAAGATTCAGGATATTCTTAGACCTCATAGTCTAAGCACCCATATAAGCTGAAATATTCTCAAGCACGACGTTAAACCCAATTTCACCTCACCTCACCTTGATTACTTATGATTCCAGCGATATAAGTTTTAATACATAATTCAACATGTAAGGTTTGCAGTGTCATGATAAAGTGACCCTAATTTTTCCATACATATTTTAACATTTTCCACGTTCTAGGTGAAGATTGCTGTTACTTATTTCAAAAGTAAATTTTTACTAACATAAAGAACGTATGTTACTAGTTATGTCTTTCTTCTTTCTTCTCAGATTTACTTCTCTTAAATAGCAAAGGTTAATGAAATGTGCAAATACGGTCTGATCTGAAGTTCTACACAAAGTTATTTATATTGAAGGTTTGTGTAAACCTTTACTGTTAAAGGAGATACAATTTTCTATCACCTTGATCATGGTGATTGCCATTTGGGAGATTAAAGCATCAATACCAAGTGTACCTTGAGAGATCTAATTAACAAGACTATTTTGGATCAGGGGCAGTTTGTGTCCTACATGTTATATCCTTTAAAATTGTATTTGACCCCAAATTATAGACTAACATCTTATCTCTCAAATAAACATATATTAGAGGAGACCCGTGAAGATCCGGGGTAGAATAGGTCTTCAGCAACCCATGTGCTTGCCATAAAAGGCGACTATGCTTGTCGTAAGAGGCGACTAACGGGATCGGGTGGTCAGTTTCGCTGACTTGGTTGACACATGTCATCGGTTCCCAATTGCGCAGATCGATGCTCATGCTGTTGAACACTGGATTGTCTGGTCCAGACTCGATTATATACAGACCGCCGCCATATAGCTGGGATATTGCAGAGTGTGGCGTAAAACTAAACTCACTCACTATATTAGAGGAAAAATGGTTGCTAATGTATATTTGATAAAATATCATAAAAAGAGCCCAGAGACTTTTTTTATGAAACTAGACTTGCCACACATTCTAGACTTGCACAGGCTGTAGTCAGTATATTTGTTTCAGGGTCTGTGTGACAGACTACCAAAATTACAAACTTTATGAAAATGTTTCTACTCTGAAAACAGTCACCAAAACTGCTGAAACTTAATAAGCTTAAGTTGTTAAACCACAGCTATCAGTTTCATACGTGTGTAAAATACATGACCATCATAAAACTAGTTCTTGTTTGGTTTATCTTTTTTCCCTTATCAACATGATGGGGCAGTGGGGTAGCCCAGTGGTTAAAGCGTTCGCCCGTCACACCGTATGCCCAGGTTCGATTCCCCACATGGGTACAACGTGTGAAGTCCATTTCTGGTGTCCCCTGCCATGATATTGCAGGAATATTGCTAAAAGTGGCATAAAACTAAAACTCATTCATTCACTCACCATATTAACACATCTTGGTATTCATTGGAGTTTTAGCAATATTCAATATCTTGGTATTACCAGAAAAGTATGCCCATGTGGGGAATCGAATGATAGTGTACCACCGCCCTCTTGGTATGATAGAAGTATCAAATGATAGTGTTTGTTTGATGCAGGTGAACCAGGAAGGGCATCAGACAACGCTTGGTTTCTTCAACTGGTTCTACTGGTGTGTGAACCTCGGCGCCTTCATCGGGCTGCTGGCCATCACCTGGGTGGAACAGATGAAGAGCTTCTTCTATGGCTACCTCTCCGCCTGTGTCTGTCTGTCTGTGGGGGCCATCGTCTTTGTTATGGGTAGGTAGTCTTACAATATGCTATGAAAGTCAGTTTATACAATGGCAATAGTCAGGATGTCTATCCATATTTTGATCATAGAGATCAATAATTGTTAACTGAATATTGGTCATTGATTATTGATAAATGCAACTCAGAGCAAAATGCCGAGAACTACTTGAAATAAATAAAAATATTTCACATCCCTGGGCATAAACAATGACATATTTAGGCCATCATTTGGATTACTAACAAAATGTCTTGACCATGATTTAGAAAGCAATCCATGAATAAAGACCTAACGAAGTCAGTCAATGAGAAGTTGATTGTGTAGCAAGTGGATTTAAACTTTATTTCACCATAGATTATGCATGATATTTTTCAATGACCTAACGATATCTGATAAATCGATAAGCAAATATAACATTTTAGCCAATGAGTATAAAATATAGAAAAGCAATGACTGCAACTATAAAAGCAGTAATGATATTCATCGCTGGGGGCGATGCTGTCAGTGGTTACCATGATTTTTCCAACTTGTATGGGTGAGTGGATTAAATTTTTATTTCATCACAATAGCAGTGGTTCAAGCATTTATCGATGCTCAATAACATTTTAGCCAGCCCCTGGGTTCGAAGCCCTGTAAAAGAAACATGGGTACAATGTGTGTGGTTAGTCCATTTCTGATGTCCCATCATGCCGAAGACCTGGGTGATATTGCTGGAATATTGCTAAAAGCGGCGTAAAACTAAACTCACTCACTCACTCCAAATAGGCCTAGGCTGAGAATACAGGGTGACAAGTGTTCTGCACAGAACTGCTGATCTTCTTGTAATATGAGATGCAATGTGAGATGACTGAGTCAAAAGTGAGGTGAGGTGAAATTGGGTTTAACGTCGTGCTTGAGAATATTTCACTCATATGACAACGTGCATGCAGTGTGTATGTGTATATGCGGCTGCTTGTACTAGCCCAGACTGAAGCTGGTTTTATAGTGCTAGCTCACTGAGATACCATGCCGCAGTGAAGCATGAATACCCCACTCAGACACATTATACTGACTCCGAGCCGACCAGTCCTTGTTGTACCCATTAATGCCGAGCGCCAGGCAGGGACCAACAAGTACCATATTTTAACGTCTTTTGGTATGGCGCTTGGACGGGTTCGAACCAACAACCTTCCGCTCAAGTAATCAAGGAATGCTATAAAGCTATTTACAGTTTGACAAGTCACTGCTGACTTCCGTTAATGCGTGCCAATTTGATTGTAAAACAAAATGTAGGCAATTAATTGTCAAATATGACTTCAATGAGTCAATACGCTTGGGTATTGGGGTCAATGGATGACAAGGCTGTGATTGCAAGTGATTGCTGAGAAAAAATGTGAAATTGGTGCTATCGTGGTAGGCACGAAAAGCGGACCCTCACCGAATGTGGTAAGCAGGCGTTGTATGGAATGAGGTAATGCCATTTCACTCATGGTTTGTCCGTTGTTATTGGAAACAGTTTTAATGAATGAAAATGGGATTGAATTTAATCAATAAAATGTGTTTTCTGACATCATACATTCTCGGATGGCGGTTACCCGTGCAATTACGCAGAGTGTTGCATCATAGCAAATGTTGTAAGTGCTCGGCTGATGGCATGTCTTTATGATAAAGTTATTACGATGTTTAAGCTGTTCATCTATTATAATTGAAAAAAACCCTGCATTTTTAAGCATCTGAAATATAATAACGATAAACACTGTTAATTGCAATCTGACTGAATTTCACTAGTTTACAACATGATTAACCAGAGCTCAACAGCCGATTTGTTGATTTGCTAATTTTGATGCGTGTATGTGTGATCACTGGGCAACTTTTTATGGGAGCCACGGATTACCCCGGTTTAACCGAATCCGCGGTATCGCAAAAGAGCGCTATTGGGAGGGATGACTGTACCATATTTAAACGTCTTTTGGTATGACGCAGCCGGGGATCGAACCCGCGACCTTCCACTCTCTGGGCAGACACTAAGTGCGCCCCTTATAAGGTTATATAAAACTTTCCAGGAACTTTCCATAATATTCTGGGTTAGACTACGCCCATGCAGTTGTAGTACCTTCCCGAACTCTCAGTCTAAATATAGCACATCACTGAATATTGGTCCACAACAACCTATGCTTGTTGTAGTGGCTAAATATACTGAGGGAATCAAAAAAGGGAACACCACTTCATCGCATTGTTCGTCTATTTATTCTCAGATTCTCACCCACAGTGCAATACAAAGCTTGTGATTCATAATGGGGGAAAAACCTGGAAAAGAATAAAGGAACGCTTCTGCTATAATGTGATCCTGTATTTATTTCCGCACAGTATATATCGGATGGACAAACTTGCCCGGTGGGTTGATGCATGTCATTGTAGTGTGGGCCATTGTCTGTTGGGTGCGTAGACAGTTGACCCAAGAGGAAACTGAGTAAATATGTTGGTTCACATCAAGCAATGCTTAAAATCTACTGAGGGAAAAAAATAAGTGATCACATGAAAGCACAAGTGTTCCTATATTTTGTTTTCCAGGTTTCTTCACAAGCTATGCGGTACAAAGCTTGTGAAGAAACCTTGGGGAAAAAAATAGAGGAATACTTGTCCTTTCATGTGATCCCGTATTTTTTCCCTTAGTATATGTTATGAGTGTCAGACTGACCGAGGTGAAGGTCAGTAAGAGATAAGATGAAATAGATAGAACGTAAGGATACTCTGAAACAATGTGAATAAAAGATCATTACTTGACATTACATCACTGTAGTGAATGTCTGTGGTCATGGTGGTAATCGAAGATGTTGTTGTAAAGGTTGTTTTGTTGTTCAGGTGGCTGTTGTTACATACGAGAACCAGGTGGTAATGGAAGATGTTGTTGTAAAGGTTTTGTTGTTCAGGTGGCTGTTGTTACATATGACAACCAGGTGGTAATCGAAGATGTTGTTGTAAAGGTTTTGTTGTTCAGGTGGCTGTTGTTACATAAGACAACCAGGTGGTAATCGAAGATGTTGTAAAGGTTGTTTTGTTGTTCAGGTGGCTGTTGTTACATATGACAATCAGGTGGTAATCGAAGATGTTATTGTAAAGGTTGTTTTGTTGTTCAGGTGGCTGTTGTTACATACGACGGCCAGCTGCAGGAAGTATTCTGACGAACATTTTCCGAATCATCCGTGAAGCTTTTCGGATGCGACGCCGAAGGAGGCGGGATTACCGCACAAAGTCCATGACAGGTGGAAAGTAAGTAGTTCATTATACCACAGCTAACTCTATCTCCCTACATATGGCTTTTAATTTTCGGAAGGGCGGTTGGGTAGCCTAGTGGCTAAAGTGTTCGCTCGTCATGCTAAGACCCAGGTTCGATTCCCCACATGAGTTCAATGTGTGAAGCCCATCTCTGATGTCCCCTTCCAAGATATTGCTGGAATATTTCTAAAAACTGTGTGAAACCAAATTCACTCACTCAATTTATGGAGGATGATCCCATGTATCTTCAGGGTGGCATTTTGATAAATCTAACCGTTAATGTGGGCTAGCGTGATCTCAAATTATGTTGAAATTATTTTCTCAAACTGGAGACAAAGAGGATGGGGATTTTTTTTGAAGATTAGATCTTGCATTTGAGATGGAAAATCACATAGGTATGTAAGATGACCCTCTTGTACGAGAGGAGATAACAGTTGGAGATTGTATCTTTGATAAAATGCTGAATGTTAGAATAAGTCTCTTCTATCCACAAAGAGGTGGGACATGGAGCTCTGGCTGGCCGAAGAAATCCCCTTCACTCTTCTGTGAGGCAACAAGCTACATGTTTATGAGTCAGTGCAAGTTTCATGCCACTGAACAAGTTACGTGCAGATCAAACCAAAAATATGTACCTTTTGTGATTCTACAAAGAATTTACCCATGAAGGTCGGGGTTAGAATGAGCCTTCAGTGACCCATGCTTGTCGTAAGAGGCGACTAACAGGATCGGGTGGTCAGGCTCGCTGACTTGGTTGTCACATGTCATCGGTTCCCAATTGCGCAGATCCATGCTCATGCTGTTGATCACTGGATTGTCTGGTCCAGACTCGATTATTTAAAGACCGTCGCCATGTAGCTGGAATATTGCTGAGTGCGGCGTAAACTAAACTCACTCACTCATTACAAATTTATGTCACTCCAGCAACAATGCTCCAAATAAGTATCTTCAGACAGGATGCTGTAATCCCATGGGAATTCTGGGTAAGGACTGATCCCAGGCGACCATTGCTGGTTGTAAGAAGTACGTTAATGGATTGGGTGTTCAGTCTTTGTGACTTGGTTGATTTGCAGGGGTGGATATAACTTTAATATTGCTAGTGTACTCCGGTACAGTGGCACATGTAAAATCACTTGCCCTGATAATTTTTCCACTATACCAACCGTTTTCTTGTTTATTTTTAAAAATAAACAACATAGTTAACATTGGAATATCAACTGGACACCGGTACAGTGTGATATACAAATTTGCTTGCCTGACAGAAAAAAATCACTGGACTCGGGCGTCGGGCAATGTGTTATTTCCACCCCTGATTTGTAAACATTCACCACGATATATGCAAGGTGTGGATCCTTGCTCAGTTACTCTCAGGTATTTACAGACAGCTCATATTTTGGTGCCATTATACAAGAACCAAACTGACAGAACACTGGTAGGACATGACGATGTTATTTGTGCCACCAGGATGGTTGATGAGGCCGAGCCCAGCCATGAGAGGCTGAGTTTCCTGGACTATGCCAAACATCGGCATGGTGGAGTATTCCATGACTCCCTCGTGGAGGATGTGAAGGAGCTGAAGAAGATCCTGTGTGTTTTTGCTGTCCTCATCCCTTACTGGATGGTGTACTTCCAGGTAATACAGGTGTACTTTCAGGTAACAGGTGTACTTCCAGGTAATACAGGTGGGAGATGGGTAACACAGGTACTTTCAGGTGGGGAGATGGGTAATACAGGTGTACTTTCAGGTAACAGGGGAGAAGTGGGGAGATGGGTAGTACAGGTGTACTTTCAGGTAACAGGGGAGAAGTGGGGAGATGGGTAATACAGGTGTACTTTCAGGTAACAGGTGTACTTCCAGGTAATACAGGTGTACTTCTAGGTAATAGGGGAGAAGTGGGGAGATGGGTAATACAGGTGTACTTTCAGGTAACAGGGGAGAAGTGGGGAGATGGGTAATACAAGTGTACTTCCAGGTAACAGGTGTACTTCCAGGTAACAGGAGAGAAGTGGGGAGGTGGGTAATACAGGTGTACTTCCAGGTAACAGGTGTACTTCCAGGTAATAGGGGAGAAGTGGGGAGATGGGTAATACAGGTGTACTTCCAGGTAACAGGTGTACTTCCAGGTAATAGGGGAGAAGTGTGGAGATGGGTAATACAGGTGTACTTTCAGGTAACAGGGGAGAAGTGGGGAGATGGGTAATACAGGTGTACTTCCAGGTAATAGGGGAGAAGTGGGGAGATGGGTAATACAGGTGTACTTTCAGGTAACAGGGGAGAAGTGGGGAGATGGGTAATAAAGGTGTACTTTCAGGTAACAGGGGAGAAGTGGGGAGATGGGTAATACAGGTGTACTTCCAGGTAACAGGGGAGAAGTGGGAGATGGGTAATAAAGGTGTACTTTCAGGTAACAGAAGTGGGGGAGATGGGTATACAGGTGTACTTTCAGGTAACAGGGGAGAAGTGGGGGAGATGGGTAATACAGGTGTACTTCCAGGTAACAGGTGTACTTCCAGGTAATAGGGGAGAAGTGGGGAGATGGGTATACAGGTGTACTTTCAGGTAACAGGGGAGAAGTGGGGAGATGGGTAATACAGGTGTACTTTCAGGTAATAGGGGAGAAGTGGGGAGATGGGTAATACAGGTGTACTTTCAGGTAACAGGTGGGAGAAGTGGGGGAGATGGGTTATACAGGTGTACTCCAGGTCAGGTGCACTTCCAGGTAACAGGGAGAAGTGGGGAGATGGGTTATACAGGTGTACTTCCAGGTAACAGGGGAGAAGTGGGGAGATGGGTAATACAGGTGTACTTCCAGGTAACAGGGGAGAAGTGGGGAGATGGGTAATACAGGTGTACTTCCAGGTAATACAGGTGCACTTCCAGGTAATAGGGGAGAAGTGGGGAGATGGGTAATACAGGTGTACTTTCAGGTAACAGGGGAGAAGTGGGGAGATGGGTAATACAGGTGTACTTTCAGGTAACAGGGGAGAAGTGGGGAGATGGGTAATACAGGTGTACTTTCAGGTAACAGGTGTACTTCCAGGTAATAGGGGAGAAGTGGGGAGATGGGTTATACAGGTGTACTTCCAGGTAATACAGGTGCACTTCCAGGTAACAGGGGAGAAGTGGGGAGATGGGTTATACAGGTGTACTTCCAGGTAACAGGGGAGAAGTGGGGAGATGGGTAATACAGGTGTACTTCCAGGTAACAGGGGAGAAGTGGGGAGATGGGTAATACAGGTGTACTTCCAGGTAACAGGTGTACTTCCAGGTAACAGGGGAGAAGTGGGGAGATGGGTAATACAGGTGTACTTTCAGGTAACAGGGGAGAAGTGGGGAGATGGGTAATACAGGTGTACTTCCAGGTAATACAGGTGCACTTCCAGGTAACAGGGGAGAAGTGGGGAGATGGGTAATACAGGTGTACTTCCAGGTAATACAGGTGTACTTCCAGGTAACAGGGGAGAAGTGGGGAGATGGGTAATACAGGTGTACTTCCAGGTAATACAGGTGTACTTCCAGGTAACAGGGGAGAAGTGGGGAGATGGGTAATACAGGTGTACTTTCAGGTAACAGGGGAGAAGTGGGGAGATGGGTAATACAGGTGTACTTCCAGGTAATACAGGTGTACTTCCAGGTAACAGGGGAGAAGTGGGGAGATGGGTAATACAGGTGTACTTCGAGGTAATACAGGTGCACTTCCAGGTAACAGGGGAGAAGTGGGGAGATGGGTAATACAGGTGTACTTTCAGGTAATACAGGTGTACTTCCAGGTAACAGGGGAGTTGGGTTATACAGGTGTACTTCCAGGTAATACAGGTGTACTTCCAGGTAATACAGGTGTACTTCCAGGTAAAACAGGTGTACTTCCAGGTAATACAGGTGCACTTCCAGGTAACAGGGGAGAAGTGGGGAGATGGGTTATACAGGTGTACTTCCAGGTAATACAGGTGTACTTCCAGGTAATACAGGTGTACTTCCAGGTAATACAGGTGTACTTCCAGGTAACAGGGGAGATGGGTAATACAGGTGTACTTCCAGGTAATACAGGTGCACTTCCAGGTAACAGGGGAGAAGTGGGGAGATGGGTTATACAGGTGTACTTCCAGGTAATACAGGTGTACTTCCAGGTAATACAGGTGTACTTCCAGGTAATACAGGTGTACTTCTAGGTAATACAGGTGTACTTCCAGGTAATACAGGTGCACTTCCAGGTAACAGGGGAGAAGTGGGGAGATGGGTTATACAGGTGTACTTCCAGGTAATACAGGTGCACTTCCAGGTAACAGGGGAGAAGTGGGGAGATGGGTTATACAGGTGTACTTCCAGGTAATACAGGTGTACTTCCAGGTAATACAGGTGTACTTCCAGGTAATACAGGTGTACTTCCAGGTAATACAGGTGTACTTCCAGGTAATACAGGTGCACTTCCAGGTAACAGGGGAGAAGTGGGGAGATGGGTTATACAGGTGTACTTCCAGGTAATACAGGTGTACTTCCAGGTAATGCAGGTGTACTTCCAGGTAACAGGGGAGTAGTGGGGATTAGGTCCAACAGGTAAGAGGAGAGTGAGTACTAGGGTATGATGGGAACTCTGAAATCATGAGAAGTGGGTTGGAAGAGGGTACTGCTACACCCTGTTGATATCTGGATGAGACTTGACACACATAATCTTTTGTGTCTTTTATGCCATGAAGCATTTTGTGTGTATATTTTGTTTCTTTTTCAGATGCAGACAACGTTTCTGGTTCAGGGCCTACATATGAAACTGATGATTCACCGGAACGAGTCTAACACTAGACCACCACACACACAGGTCAGTCGGAGTTGTAAACAAAATTAATTAATTTAGTTCATTATAATCCAATCCAAGCTCTTGTAGTATTACTGTTTATGTTTTGTTTGTCTGTATTTTTCTTGTGTGTAAATACTTAAATCAGGACCAGACAATCCAGTGATCAACAACATGAGCATCTATCTACGCAATGGGATACAAGGTTGTATCAACCAACCTGGCCACCCAGTCCAAATGCTGGGTTGCTGTAGTCCAATTTTAATCCAGATTGGGCTGAATAGGCTTCTATAGCTGGCAGGAAGATGGCCATCTCCTATTCTGTAGTGTAGTGCTTTTCAATGACATAGCTGCCATGGAAATATATTCCATGGTGAATCTATTACTTTCTGGGCCTACAAAAGAACAAACTTGAAAGTTGGATTATTTACAGGCTGCTGTAATAGCTGGAAAACTACTACATACGTCGCTAAATTACAATAACAGTGGAGTAGTTCTTCCTTCTCTCTTTATGTTTTCAGCTGGTGGTCGCCTGGTTCTCCTTGTTCGATGTTGTCTTCCTCATCCTGCTGCTTCCGCTGTTTGACCGAGTCATCTACCCTCGTCTCGCTAGGGCCGGACACCCCTTCGGAATGACCAAGCGTATCATTGTCGGAATGGTGTTTGCAATGGTGGCAATGATAGTGGCTGGAGTGGTGGAGAACTACCGACTGAAGGCGTTCTGGCCGTATCCTGATCAACCATGCACAAACAATTCCATAATACAGACAATTGGTAAGTCAGGGTTATTGATTATTAGTTTTGATTTAAATGAGATCTTGAGTTTAATACATGTACAAAACCTCTGAGCAGGCTGATCTATCCTTCACTGGCCTGAGGTTTTTTATTAGCAGCTTCCAGTATTCTCTAGATTCAGTTTCACCTTCCGTTTAAACTGAGATGTTGTTTTAGTGGTTCCATTTGCTGTTTCTCTAAAAGGTGAGGTGAGGTGAAATGGGGTTTAACATCGTACTGAAGAATATTTTGCTCATATGACGATGTGTGTGTGTATGTATGTGTGGATGCTTGTACTAGCCAAGATTTAAGCTGGTTTTATAGTGCTAGCTCACTGAGATACCATACCTTCTCTTAAAGGACAGTACAGCAACTGTTCTGAATCACTGTTTGTTGACCTACCCAGCTCTGCTTGTCTTAATCCCCATTATCACATGACCAGACTTTTCTGGTTCCTGTTGACAGACACACTTCTTCACAAACAGAACAAGATGAAGCCTTCAGTGCACTCTACATATTGTTCTGCATAATTATGTAGATTCAGTACTACAGCTGTGGGGTGGTGGGGTAGCCTAGTGGTTAAAGCGTTCGCTTGTCATGCTGAAGTCCCGGGTTCGATTCTCCACATGCGTGCAATGTGTGAAGTCCATTTCTGGTCCCCTGCCATGATATTGCTGGAATATTGCTAAAAGCGGCGTAAAACTAGATTCATTCACTCACCTTAGTGCATCGATGACAGAATATGGAGGATGTGAACCATTTGGAATACAGGGGATATTGGTATTTGTAATCCTGGTATTGTTTGCAGGAACGACAACGTATCAAGCTGCAGATATGAGCATCCTTTGGCAAATCCCTCAGTATGCTTTGATAGGCACCAGTGAGGTGTTCACCAGCGTGGCAGGTATGTCCCTCGGACCATTCTCCTTTTGTAGGGGGTATGTACAATAAATAAATGTTAACGATCATCAGGTCTTTCATATGACTCTAGTTGGTCATGAAGTCTGTATTGCTATGACAGTTGTGTCCGTCGGTCCATTCTCCTTTTGCAGGGTGCAATGTATACTATTATCTGATTCTTTCAAATAACTATAGTTTGTATTTTATGAAGTCTGTTTAGCCATGACAGGTATGTTCCTTTAGGACATTCAATTCTCTTTATGCAATGTGTAACATACTACAGTGGAAGCCCTCTAAACCGGCATTCGTTGGGACCGGACAAAAATGCCGGCATAGAGGGCGTGCCGGTTTTGAAAGCTTCCACTGTACTCTTAAAATGTTAAGGATTATCTGATTCTTGCATGTTACTTTATTTATCTGTCATGCCAGGACAGGTATGTCCTATGAGGGTAATCCATCCTCATGTATATAATGTATACTACTCTAAAAATGTTTAGGATTATCTGATTCTTTCATATAACTGTGGTATAGTTATCTGTCATGTCTTGAGGTAAAATCAGAATGACAAGGTTGGTTTTATTTTTCACCATTGATACAAATGGCAATGAAATGCTGCTGATTTTGCATTTTATTCGTAAAGACCCTAACGGGCCAAATATTATGTTTATTTAAAGACCATCATCTGCAGATCGAAATGAAACTTTACAGTCATGTATTAAATAAAGAGAACCTGTGAAATTATTTATTTAACTTTCCAACCAAATATTATGTTTTTAATAACAAATCCAGTATTTTTCATCATCTGCAGATTGAAATGTTTTACAGTCATGTAAAATAAAGTGTGAAATTATTTAGACTCATCCAGTAATAATATCAAGTAGTATTCAAGAAAGATTATTGGTCATGAGACGATACAAACCAGCAACGTCATTGTCTGGTTCAGATCTCGTTTGATGTGTAGCCAGGGTGTCAATTCCACAATGCAGAGATACAGATCAGCTGCGTATCTGCATAAACTACGTAAATATTTATGTGAAAAATCAATTCCTATTAGGTCTATTGCGTACAGGTACGCTTGAATTTTTGTAAATACTCAATAAATTTGATATTACATGCGTACACATGAAAATGTCAAATCTTAGCTTGCATCCCGGTGGATAGATAAATAACAGGTATATTGAGAGGTTCTGTTTCAGGACATGAAATTGGCAACTTGCAGTCTTTCTTATTGTTTCTCATATTACAGATCAAATATAAATAACAAACACGTAAACCAACATTTAAACTTTATTATATTTTTACAATTAATGGAGAATGGCAAAATATCCAATTGAGTTTGAGTGAGGTGGGTACAATTTATTTGGTTAATTAGGATACCCATTTGAGATGAACACACGAGTACACAACTCAATAACCCACAAAGTTATCCGTAGCTCTGGCCATATGTTACAGGTCTCCAGTTCGCCTACTCCATGGCCCCCAAGTCAATGAAGGGCATCATCATGGGACTGTTCTACCTCTCCTCCGGAATCGGCAGCTTCCTCGGTACCGCCATCATCTCCGGCTTCTACAGCACAGGAACGTGGTTCCACTCCTCCGATTATGGTGACATCAACTGCCGTCTGCCCTGCACGGACAAGAAAAGTTTTAATCAAGCCTGTCACCTCGACTACTACTTCTACCTGCTGGCTGGAGTGGAGCTAGTGGGACTTATCTTGTTCATTGTTGTAGCCAAAGTGTTTAAACTGGGTGTAGAGACCCAAGAAAGATTACAAACAAATTCCCCAGTGACTTTTCAGTCAGAAGCAACTATGAACAATGCCAAAGATGGACGTCATTCCATCCAGAGAACGACGTCTGACATGTCATCTTAGCATTGTGTGTATATCGGCATGATGAAGGGAGTGGAAGATCTTCATTTTGTGTAAATGGAGTGTTTGCCGTTGAAGATGTTGTTGAACTGGATCAGAAGCCAGGAAAGCTGGACTTTTCATTATGTGTGAATGATCTGATCGAGACAAATGTTAGGTTCAAGGAAGGTGATATATTCGTGTGTTGTTCAATATAGACAAACTTTATGAATCACAGCTTCTTTATTTCATGAGTGTGACTTTCAGATACAGATTCTTGTACCACTGTGTATATATGATTATTGAATATCACATAGTAATTGAGAAAAGTTCAGTCTGTTCTAGGGCTGGGCTGGGTCCAAATTTTCTACCCGGGTACCCCACCCCCAATTCCCCTACCCTACCCTGATACCCATTATGTTAATTCCTGACATCAAATTTGTAAGATGTGGCAATATATTCTTCAGCTCGAAGGCTAAAATTTCGAGTTTTTCAGTATCTTAACCATGTATTGTATTCAAAACAGGTGACTTTTAATCATGAAAGAATAACATATTACATTGTTTAATCTATTAGTCACATGATCATAACGAGTCCAGCTATTGAGACAGGTACCCGGGTCCAACTCATTACCCACCCTACCATTAGTGCTGGTATTGGCATACAACCTGCGATACGATACATCACGATACGAAAATTTTACTCACGATGATATATTGCCAAAGTATTGTGCACTAAAGCTGCGATACGATATGAATCCTGATATAAGAGTGGCGATGCGATATGTATCACGATACTAAAATCTTTAATTCTTACACCAACTATAAGCACCTTAAGATTAAAACAAAAACATTGTTTAAATGAAAGACTTTAATTTGAAAAAAGTCGCATTAGGCAATTTTTTAAAAACAAGTACAAAATAAATATAATATAATACTGTTATAAACAGATATTCGGCAATATTCAAAGTTAAACATTCATGTATCATGGCGCATTTGAAGTATTGTTTCGGGATATACGACAATGTATAAATTTGTATCGATTCACTGTATCAGCGACCCATGAATCGTCACACCACTAGCACACCACTAGTATCCATACAAAATTTCAGAAAAGGAGTTATTTAGGAGTTGTCTTTATGTGTATAATCTCAATAACATCAGATGTTTTATTCTGATATGATTCCTCACTGTGTCAAGAACTGAAGAGACCTCCATAGAAGGTTCCAGCAGGTGAACCCTGAATGGCCTTTTACTGCCCAATCAAACATTACTTCACAGCCCTCATTAAGAAAGTTAGATCTGGGCCAATGAAGACTTCCATAGATGATTCAAGCATCCAGGGGCGTAAATACCATTATTAAAAAAGGCCGGGCTTACACATGATTGTTGCTAAAAAGACTGGGCAAGCCCTCAATACTATCTAAATATATAGCTTTGCAACCTATTGGGCTTACGTGAAAAAATTGGCTTGCTATGCGCTTGGCATCCACTCTTAACGTTGAAGACATGGATTCGATTCCCCTCACGGGTACAATGTGTGAAGCCCATCTCTGGTGTGCCCCGCTGTGATATTGCTGGAATATTGCTAAAAGTGGCGTAAAACTAAACTCACGCACTCTGACAGCAAAGTTTGTTTGAAATACTGTGTGTTTACCTTTACTCTCTCTGCACATAAAGAGGTTTTATGTCAGACAGATGTTAATGGTGTGATCAAAAGATCATGTTTATGTATCCAAGGGTATCTGTCCATGACTATCCATGATTATTCAAGATTTTGTAAGACTCAGGTTCGCATTAGGTCTCCTAACTAAGGTTTGATCCTCAGATTTGTGTCCTGTTTCCTTCTGAGATAGAAAATAATGTGGCACAAATTCACTATTTAGTATTGCTCGGTTACCATGGTTACATTATTCATTCAAACTGCCGAAACTTCAGCTTTAAATGTTCAGTATAACAGCCTATTGCATGGAGTGACGTTTCCATGTAGATTCTTGTAGCTTGATAACAAAACCAGATGTCATCCATAAAGGTGAATGTCATTTTTTGACTCACCAACTTCTAGAATGCTGATCAAACAAAGAACTGCCTATATTTTGGGGCATTCATTTAAAATTAGTTATTCAATGTCTCGAGAATTTTTTTTATCTAAGTTTATTATTAATTGATACTTTTTAGCCAATGTATTGATACTATAATTTTTGAATTGATGACACTCAGTATTCTTAACCCCTCAGTATTGCATATTTGTTACATAAATATGTTAGTGTATCTTTCTGACACTTATTCAACTACTGATATTAATGTCTTTGTTTTCTGAAGGATGGATTTATACGGTGGAATTTGATTTTCTTAACACTTTCCTCTACTACACACTAGTGTTGGGAATTGGTTAAAATCTCATGATTGATGATTGGTTCATTACAACCGATCAATCATCAAAAATAATTGGTTAGCGTCATTTATGAAATTTTCCTTTTTGCACAAAAACATAAAGAAAAAAACCATGTAGTTCTTTGGTTGTTTTTTTCTCTCAAAAATTTCACATCTGTAAAGGATGACTAGTATGTTAGGAACATAAATTTCTTGGGGTCTTTAAGATAAATTCAAACATGACTTGGAATGAGCTTGTAGTGCTCATGAAATGTAACAGACAAAACCAACCTTGTGAAAAATATTGTTAATGCAAAAAGTGTTCCAGAATTGTTTGTGTTCGATTATGAGAAAACATGATCGATTGCTTGGTCGTTTAGTCACTGCGACCAATCTTCGATTATTTAATTAATCGGACCACTACTACTACACACATAAGTGACATAAGTCAGTATTATAATTCTGCAGCTGTCTTCGTAGCTGAACTCTCTCTTTTGTGTTAATTTCATTCAGGGGCGGTGGGGTCACCTTGTGGTTAAAGCGTTCGCTCATCACACCGATATAGTACTGTTTGTGCCTTCAATCTTTTAGTGAAGCATCTTAGAATATGTGACATTCCAGAGACATTGTATATACATCCCTCTTTAACTTCACATTTCGTGTCCTTTACCCTCTTTGGCTACTGAGGTTCGTCTAATACGTCACATGACATTTTCACTAATGGTTCTCAGATTGCGGCTACTTTGGTCTCAGAGGTGTCTCCACAGAAAATATTTTGAAGTCATAGTTGTTTAGTGCTATAGCTATCATTGGCAGTGTGTCATGTATATAATCAGATACACATTGCCGTGTATGTTTTTGGAAACGGCAAGTGAGATTCAAAATCCTCATCCTTGGAATAACACTACAGCATTGATGGTGCTTGGTCTTCGCCATCAGTTGTTGCTTGTAAATCTCATAGAGATCTCACAGATGTGCTTTGTTTCATAAACCATGATAACATATAACTTTCATACAAATTGTCATAGTTTTCTAAAATTGTCTCATGCTATTAGCATAACAAAATGTATTTATATGTATATATTTACCAAGATGCACAAATGTACCCCCTGTCTTTCCACTGGTATAATGTTAGTATGTAAAATACAACCAAGTACGTTGCATGTAAATAATACATTCTTACCAAATAAATATAATTAATAATTGTGAATTTATAATGCACCTTTTCCATGTACAAGGCACATGGTCAAATTATTATTACCCCGGATAACCCAAGCTGCCTGTGAGGGGCTAGAAGGTTAATAGTCACATGACCTATTGCACCGGGTACCCATTTTCTGCTGGGTGAACAGAGGCAATTTTGAACAAACTCACTTGCCTAAGGTGAGACCACATGTATCACATGTGCTTCGTTGTGGGGCAAGACTAAAGTCCTAGAAACTCTTAGGAGTCAAGCTGCCAAACACGGTCACTCATCCAAGGACTGTCTGTGCCAAACGTTGCTTAACTTCAGCTGATTTCTGACCCAAGCTTTTATGGATTTGTTTTTTTGCAATTAATTTTCCAAACATGGATACATACAGTTGTATATATGCACATTTTTTACAATAAAAACTAGCATGTTACCCATTATCATAAATGCTACAAATATTTTAGGCCAGACATTTTAGTTTGAATCCTGGTTGCTGTTGGTGGATTGAAAAAAATGAGAAGTCATGTTAGAATATTTTTCCATGAGCTAACTGAATAGGTTTTCACGATTTTAGGTGTGAAATGTTAGTTTTTGTACCACCATAAGTCAAACCAATTGTTTTTGTTTTTTTACTTTCTCTACAGAAACAGCAAGTTCAAAAAAGCAACTACATTTTATGCTACAAATATAACATGTTATATGTGGGATTACCTTTTTAGTAAAGGACAAATTCTAGTACTTTTTTATTTTAGTTGAGCCCCATCCGGGATTCGAACCCACTCCCTCAGTCAGGCACCTAATCGCCAGCACACATTTCATGCTATTGCTGTCTGCAGCGTTTTTGGACAAGCCTCATCAGTAAGACCCTAAGGAATCAAGTCTGGCAATTATCTTTGTTTGTCCATGTGAAATTTGCAAAAATAAGATTAAATATCATGTGTTATTGTTTATATCAGAGTATCAAGATCAGTGTGCGAAACAGTTTCCAAATTTTCCAAGTCAGTCGGGCTACCTATGGCTGAAAGTTACTAGCCTACAAAATAATTCACTAGCCCAAAATTTGAAAGTAGAAACTAAGCAAAAGATTAACAAAATAGATGAAAATAAGATTTTGTCGTCATGATGCCGGTTTCATCATTAAGCTGCTAATATGATGAACATTTTATCAGGTCATAATCTTGCATGATTGAAAAGTGTATTATAATTTAACAAGTCGGAGAGTGATATATTACAAAATGACCTCATGAAAATTCACTAGCCAGTGGGGCCAGTGACTGTGGAGATTTACTGGCCCAACTGGATTTTTACTAGCCATGGGCTGGCAGGCCAGTGGCTATTTTTCGCACACTGATAATCAAGATCTTCACACTCTCAGTTGGGCATGGATGACCCAGTCATATTAGGTGCTGCCGCTGAGTTTGCCGTACAGAGTCGTGTCCCTTGGACATGCCAGACATCCGTGTTTGATGCTTCCAGATTTGTCTTACTAACCGTACTCAATATGGCTCAAAAGGGGACCGATGAATTGCAATCTAAATCGAAAACTAATAAACATAAAATACTCAATATTCGTGAGCTTCGTCAAAATGGTAAAAGTCGCTCACTCAATGAGTCTCTACTCTGTTAAGTTGACAGGTGAGGGTAAGCTGGTGATCAGTGTATTGCCTCCCCACACCAACACCTGGGTTTGGATACAATTCGTCTTCCTGATGCAAGAGTGTCTACTTTCATAAGGGCTTGTGACCGGTGAAGGTCCGGGTTAGAATATTGATCTTCAGTAACCCATGCTTGTCGTAAGAGGCGACTAACGGGATCGGGTGGTCAGGCTCGCTGACTTGGTTGACACATGTCATCGGTTCCCAATTGCGCAGATTGATGCTCAT